AAGATTTTGGATAGCAATGGTAAGTTTGATATTGGCCTATAGTTGTTTACGTCTGTAGGGTCACCACCTTTATGTATTGGTGTAACCCTTGCTGTCTTGAGTAGTGTCGGGAAAGTGCTAGTTTCTAGTGACTTGTTAAAAAGTAATATAATAGCATGCGAAAGGACATGGGCCGCTCGCTTGTACAATAATGGTGGGACGTGAGACAGATTCCCGGAGTTATTTTTAAGTGACTTTATGATCGCGGTGACTTCCGTGAGCTCAGTTGGTACAAGATAGAAGGAATCTGGGAAATTCCCATCTAGGTAGTCCCCGGCACGGGCATTGGTACGTGGGATTTTACTAGCGAAATTAGATCCTATGTTTGAGAAGAAGTCGTTTATCTTGTTAGCTGTATCAGTGGGATGCAGTGGTGTTTCGTGAGGTTTAGTTAGAACAATATTCTTGTTTTTTTTTTAGTTTGTGGGTCCCCAGAATCTGTGAAAGTGTTTTCCAGGTCTTTTTTATATCTCCTCTTGTGTCAATGAATCTGCTGGAGTAGTACAGTTGTTTGGCTTTCTTTATTAATTTGGTGAGAACTGTTGAATATTGTTTAAGAATATCTTTGTGTATTAAGCCCTGTCTATATTGCTTTTCATATTGGTGTTTCTTATCAATGGATTTCAGAATGCTGCTGGTTAGCCATGGGCAACCAAGCCGTTTATTCGTGATCTGTTTCGTTTTTATAGGACAATGTTTGTTGTATAGTCTAAGTATTTTGTGAAGAAAAATATCTGCCCAATCGTCAATACCATTGGCATTGGAGAATTCTGTAGGCCAGTCAACAGTCTCGAGGTCTGCTGTGAAATTCCTTATTGAGGCCTCGTCATGGAGTCTAAATGAAACTTTGTTGTATTCGAGTGGTGGCTTACTAATGTTTGTTAAGAGGAAGGTTGGGTAGTGGTCAGTAGTGCTGTCTGTGATTATCCCTGATTTAAGGGGGGCTAGTATATTGGTCCATATGTGGTTTGTCACACATTGCGTCATTATGTACTGGAGTGTGATAAAATTAATGAATTTAGAAACAACTCACTCAGAAGTGTTCAAGAAATGGCTAAATATTTTATCCACAGTGGTATATTACAGACCATTCTGGAGAAATACCCTGACTTTGCTAGCTGTAAATAAAGCATTACCACATATGTGCATGTGTGTGTGTGTGTGTGTGTGTGTGTGTGTGTGTGTGTGTGTGTGTGTGTGTGTGTGTGTGTGTGTGTGTGTGTGTGGTGTGTGTGACTCAACAATCAATATTTGCACCAATAACTCATTACAGTTGTGACCGGGTGTGGAAGTGTGAATTGCTCATTACTCTATAATTTGTTCATGATTGTAGCCAAAGTATAAACGTAAGTAACCATTCTATAGAATTCATTACCTTTGTAACTTGTGAGCTCATTACCTTTGTACCTAGTTCAGCTATCAAAACTTTGGGGGCCCAGTCCCTGGACCCATTACGTACCTCTGTAATCTGTAAATACCTTTGTAACTTGTCATAATTGTGACCAGACTTACCTGGAGTTCATTACCTTTGTAAATTGTGAGTTCATTACCTTTGTAAATTGTGAGTTCATTACCTTTGTAAATTGTGAGTTCATTACCTCTGTAACTTGCTCAGCTATCAAAACTTTGGAGTCCAGTCCCTGGACCAATTATGTACCTCTGTAATCTTTTGACTACCGCCCACAGGATGGGTATGGGGTGCATAATAAACATATTAAACTAACTAACTATGTGGTCTATTATGGTTGCACTTGTCTCAGTCAGCCTGGTTGGTTTAGTTATTGTTGGTATGAGACGTGCGTTGTTCATATTGTTGATGAAATCAGTTACAGTCTGATCATCTGGTAGGCCAAGGTTGATATTGAAGTCTTCAGCTAAAAGAAGGTGGGGGGTATCCGGTATATGCCACCGATTGTTATAGGCGTCTTGAGGTTTTTTACAGTAAAATTAGCAAAAATGTATTCCCCATATTCATCACTAAAGCAATTAGTGCTAAAACAAGATAGTTGGTTAGAGTAATAGATTGCAGTACCACCCCCAGCTTGGTATGGTCTGCAGTTGTGGATTGCTGTGTATCCTGGTAGAGGGTAGATATCAATTGTGTCCTGCTGAAGCCAGGTCTCAGTAAGAATAATGCAGGAGAATGGTGTCTCTAGTGACTTAAGGAGTGCCAGGAGGTCATCATAGTGTTTGCTTAAGGACCTGATGTTGTAGTTAAGAACTGATAGACTTTGAGCAGTGTTCAGGATAGTGCTGGCTTGTGATGCTGTGTAATAAAGGCAGTTACTTTCCAATAAGTTTTGATTGTGTGTTAGATTATGGAGGTTTAGATCAGGGTCAATGTGATCATTTATCTTTTAGGCTTAAATAGTGGTTGTTTATATCCTGTATTTATCAAGGCATGACTTGATGCTTTATCAAGGCATGATGATGCTTTATCAAGTCATGACTTGATGCTTTATCAAGGTATGACTTGATGCTTTATCAAGGTATGACTTGATGCTTTATCAAGGCATGACTTGATGCTTTATGGAGGCAACACTTGATGTTTTACCAAGGCATGGCTTGATCCTTTATCAAGGCATGGCTTGATGCTTTATCAAGGCATGACTTGATGTTTTATGGAGGCATAACTTGATGTTTTACCAAGGCATGACTTGATGCTTTATGGAGGCATAACTTGATGCTTTATCAAGGCATGACTTGATGCTTTATCAAGGCATGACTTGATGCTTTATGGAGGCATAACTTGATGTTTTACCAAGGCATGACTTGATGCTTTATGGAGGCATAACTTGATGCTTTATCAAGGCATGACTTGATGCTTTATCAAGGCATGACTTGATGCTTTATGGAGGCATAACTTGATGTTTTACCAAGGCATAACTTGATGCTTTATCAAGGCATGACTTGATGTTTTGCCAAGGCATGACTTGATTCTTTATCAAGGCATAGTGTTTGTACACGTCACAATTATACATTGTTTAGTTTCCTTGATGTGTCATAACCATACTAGTACTACAAGGTTAGAGAAATATTTGTTTTACACTAGTGTTTCATCATGCTGAGTATGCTAACTGAATTCAAGGATTATTTTTTAAAGATGGGATGAGATGTTTATAATAATAATAATAGTAATAATCTATTTAATCATGATACAATGTTGTCCAGAGACAAGCGACATTTATTTGTGCTTTGATGTTGGTGAAGGGCTGTAGGTTCAGGGAAGTAGGGTTAGCATTTGCTTCCTTGGAAGCAGAGTTAGCATTCCTGTTTTTTTTAGTCTCTAGTAATGTATGACATGTTGAAGAATAAAAACACTTGTGTAACACTCAGGAATCTTTATTGTGGAAACGTTTAGCCAGCCAGTGGCTTCTTCAGTCTAATGCAGAAAAGAACGGTGGAAGATGAGGTGGAATTTGAGGTAATCAGTCCCTCAGCCTTGAGTCGATGTGTTCAATCCATCAGTCTTGAGAAAGGTAGAGCATAGGCATGAAGAAGTGGTTATGTACTCCAGTCAGGTGAGCTGAAACAGGAGGCAGAATCACCAGTGGAAAAATTCACTAGTGTAAGTAGGTAAGGCAAACATTAAAGAATTTCCTGTACGTATCAAGATCCTAAGGTGTTGCTGTGTCTGGCAGATATGATGTAAACGGTTTCAGACACAGCAACATCTTGGGATCTCAGTACTGGAAATTCCTCAGTGCTTGCATAACCTATTGGCATCGTCTAACTACACTAGTGGGCTTTTTCACTGATGACTGCCTCCTCCTCCTCCTCCTCCTGCGTCAACTCACCTGACATCAATTTTAGATTTAACTCAACTATTCCTGAAGTGATACCCAGAAATATAATATACTTATTCATAAATAACAAAAAAAAAAAAAGGCACAATACCGTGACTGGAACGATACACAAATAACCCGCACATAGAAGAGAGAGGAGCTTACGATGAAGTTTCGGTTCGATTTCGACCATTTACAAAGTCACAACTAACGAGAAGGAGGTTAGGTTAGGTTAGGTAAGGTTCGTCAGGAAACAATAAATGTCAGATTATGACCCGCCTTTGGAGCTTTGGTCATCTGACCGAGGCCTTCCGCTGGCTTACCGGTCCACCCCTTTAAAAATTATGGTCATTTATAACCATTAACGAGGAGAGCAGGAGGTGGTGGTAGTAGTAGTAGTAGTAGTAGTAGTAATGGAGGTAGAAGGTAGTAGTAGTGGGGAGGTGGGAGGAGGAGGAGCCAGTCAAATACTAAGAAAGAGGAGCACTGCAAGGGAACTAGGTGCCCACAGAGGGGAAGAAAATAAATAAATAAATAATAAGGAAAGGGGAAGAGGGAGAAGAAGAAAACGGAGGAATCAGGTTAAGTCACGGGTGTTCTGAAGTTTGGAGCATTAACAATGTAGTGGGAAAGGAAGGCGAAGCCAGGACTAAGATTCATACAAGGAAAGTTGTTAAATTGGACACAAGTGCAACTCTTGGGTATCTTTATTGAGGAAACGTTTCGCCACACAGTGGCTTCATCAGTCCAAACAAAGGAGAATCGTGAAGAACAGGAGAAGAATGAGGTAATCAGTCCCTCAACCCTGAGTCGATGTGGTCAGTCCATCAATCTTGAATAGAATACAGCATATGTGCCGAGAAGTAGCTTATATACTTATATACTTCTTATGTAGCTTATATAGTTCTCGGCACATATGCTGTATGCTATTCAAGATTGATGGACTGACCACATCGACTCAGGGTTGAGGGACTGATTACCTCATTCTTCTGTTCTTCACGATTCTCCTTTGTTTGGACTGATGAAGCCACTGTGTGGCGAAACGTTTCCTCAATAAAGATACCCAAGAGTTGCACATGTGTCTAATTTAACAACTTTCCTTGTATGAATCTTAGTCCTGGCTTCGTCTCTGTAGATGCCTTCCTTTCCCACTACATTGTTAAATGCTCCAAACTTCAGAACTCCCGTGACTTAACCTGATTCCTCCGTTTTCTTCTCCCTCTTCCCCTTTCCTTTATTATTTATTTTCTTCCCCTCTGTGGGCACCTAGCTCCCTTGCAGTGCTCCTCTTTCTTAGTATTTGACTGGCTCCTCCTCCCACCTCCCCCTACTACTACCTTCTACCTCCATTACTACTACTACTACTACTACTACCACCTCCTGCCTATATACACCCCTCCTGCTCTCCTTCTCGTTAGTTGTGACTTTGTAGCTGTATAGCCCTTGTGGCTTAGCGCTTCTTTTTGATTATAATAATAATTATGTGACTTTGTAAATGGTCGAAATCAGACTGAAACGTCGTCGTAAGCTCCTCTCTTCTATGTGAGGGTTATTTGTGTATGATATGATAATTGATGATATGATAATTGACGATTTAAATGCTCATTCTTATTTCTTTTGGTTGACAGAGTCATGTGAAACCCAGAGTGACCAGATGGATGGTTGTGTCAGTGGTCACTACCATGTTGGGATCATGCCTGCCAGCTGGCTACTGTATTGGAGTCATTAACACACCACAGGAAGTCAGTATTGATATTAGCAATGATTCATATAAAGATGGTATTGCATGCATTTTTCCATTACCCAAGTACACTTGTAGTCAGAACAACAGATGAATTTTGTTTAGCATCATTACCTATTTTGGAATTTATTTTAGGATGTAAAAGCTTGGACCCACTTTATGATAAGTCTCCCCTCAGTTTATACTCATAAATTTACAAGTGCGATTTAAGATACAGTGTAATTATGTGTTACTTTCCCTAGTTGGTTTAGCACTTAGTTATCATTTTTTTTTTAACAAGTCGGCCATCTCCCACCGAGGCAGGGTGACCCAAAAAGAAAGAGAATCACCTAAAAGAAAATACTTTCATCATCATTCAACACTTTCACCACACTCACACATAATCACTGTTTTTGCAGAGGTGCTCAGAACACATCAGTTTAGAAACATTTACGTAAAAAGATACACAACATATCCCTCCAAACTGCTAATATCCCGAACCCCTCCTTTAGAGTGCAGGCATTGTACTTCCCATTTCCAGGACTCGAGTCCGGCTATATAAAAATAACCGGTTTCCCTGAATCCCTTCACTAAATATTACCCTGCTCACACTCCAACAGATCGTCAGGTCCCAAATACCATTCGTCTCCATTCACTCCTATCGAACATGCTCATGCACACCTGCTGGAAGTCCAAGTCCCTCGCCCACAAAACCTCCCTTACCCCTTCCTTCCAACCTTTTCGAGGACGACCCCTACCCCGCCTTCCTTCCCCTACAGATTTATACGCTCTCCATGTTATGATTATAATAATAATAATAATACTATATGGTATGTGATGATTAAGTAAGTTTATTCAGGTATACACAAATACAGTTACATAGAATTATCATACATAGCAGCATATGTGTAGAGAACCTGGGATAACCCAAAAAAGTCAGACAGAGTGACTTATTTCCATTGGGGTCCTTTTACCTTATTGTTATAATATAAAGGTTATAATATTTTCTTATTATTCTATAATGAAGATAACATCTTATTATCATACTAAAAAGACTATCTACTACACGAGGGTCATTAAGACTATCTACAATACGAGGGTCATTACTAGGAATAAGGTAAAATTTACACGTATGTTAGATAAAAAATAGAAAATCATTCCCCTCCCTTTCTGTAGCTACATTCATCAGACACCTTTTGGCACTCTTCTTGAACTGGTTCATGCTGTGACTGGCTTTGACATGTGCGGGTAGTCTGTTCCATTCCTTTATTGCTGTACAATAAAAGGTGTTTGAAGCCTTAAAGGAATGGAACAGACTACCATTCAGTACCATTCAGATATTCAGTACATACTGGAAAAAACAGCACTGTACTGTGTTACCATGAATAACTCATCCGAATAACACTAGAAAAAGTAAAAGGTGTCCTTTTGCCATTTCTAGTGTTATTCAGATGAGTACACCACCAACTTAATAACAAGTGCAACTAATGTGACTTTTTATTGTGGAAACGTTTCGCTCTCTGGCTTGATAGAGTTCCTGGAGAGTGAAACATTGCCACAGTAAAATGTCACATTAATTGCATTTGTGTCCTTTTACCCAACATACTGTCGGTAATTCTACCAACATTAATACAACACTAGAAAACATCATATGTATACAGGTCTCCCTCCACATTCGCGAGTTCCACTTTCACGGGCTTCAAACATTCGCAAATGCCCAGCCGCCCAGTCATATTTAAAACATGTCATTACGTACATTAGGAATTGTGGCACGACAGAGTTTGTTTGGAGGCAGGACAAGATAGTCCTTCAATATGATACTAATATCAACTCTACGGCTTATTTATCTATCACAATTTATCTAATGTGACATAATAAACAATATTAATAACAGTAACAACAATATTAATAACAGTAATAACCACTCATTATTAATATTTATAACAATATTAATAATGAGTGGTGGTGGTGGTGTTGTCGGGTGAATAAGGGCCACTGAGAGCATAAGCCGTACATTGCTACACTGTTAATGGTGCACTTTATCGCTTGCTGGCACTATAGCCTTATCGACTCTGCTGCTTTAGTATCGTACATATCGTAGAATCACTGAATAAGGCACATTCTCCCCTCTCTCTTCCTCCTCCATTTTGGTACTCTGCCATGAGTTCTTTCTTGAATTCTTTAGTCTTTCTCACCTTCTTTACTAAAGGGCTGGTACTAGTAGAATATTTTATGGTGTTTTCATGTGTTTTATAGGTTAAGGAAGCAGTATTGTTAGGCTAAGTAAATGCTATTATTATATTTCCCTACAATATATTTGTCAAACATTCGCTATTTTTCAACATTCGCGAGGATCTTGATCCCCTAACCCTCGCGAATGTGGAGGGAGACCTGTATAAGTTGGTATATTTATGGAATTCTAGGGCCACTGAATGTTTTTAATGTGTATATACAAACAGTGAGAAATTACAAAGTACATAAATACTGTACCTTAGTGAAGCACTGTTACTACACTTGTCACAATGTGATAAAAAATTTTTTTTTAAAAATTCACTTCATTCCTTCAGTTTATGAAAGGATAATTGATTTCTTCAGAAATGTAGTGTGGACATAAGAGGTTTTTAATAACAAAGAGAATGATAATGGCTTTATTTCAAATTTAAGTACAAGTATGCACACTAATTGGGATCCATTTTCTGTGGCAGTTATGAATTCACTTTTACTTTATCTGAAATGCTCTTTTCTACACAAGCCCTCTGGAACTTTGTCTTTAATACCTCGACTATATTTATTTTGTCTTTCGTAGTTTCCCCTTTTCAAACCTGAATAAAAGACTGTTAATAAATTGAAACACCAAGAACAGAACTTTTTGTTAGTTGGGGAATCCCCAGAATTACTTAGTAAATATGTATGTATTTACTCTGTATGAAAACAGAAATCTACCTTTGTATCACAGTGAGAGTATCCTACTCAGTTGTGGTATTAAATTTCAGTAAATTTTATTTGCATTAATTTAAGAGTAAACATAGTCAAATATCGTTTATTTTTCTGCCATTTACAGTATACATGTATGAAAATAGCTTACAGTACAGTATTCCACTTTTATTTTTTTGCCTTCTGAAATAATTCTCTTAATTAATAAATAAAATTTATAAGAAAATTTGGATATACAGTATGTATCTGTACCTGTAAATGAACAACATGGCCATTTTATAATCATCCTGTAGAATTTTATAGTCAGTTTTATAATCATCCAGTAGAAAAAATTATGCTAGTACAATAAAAAAATAATTGAAATATCTTAAATACTGTCTTGCACATCTCTACCTTACAATATTTATTGTTTCAGATAATCAGAAGTTGGGTGAAGAGTGTCATACTAGAGAAGTATAATTCAGAACTATCGCTTACTCAGGAGGTGTCACTCTGGTCTGTGATTGTAGCAATATTTGTAGCAGGAGCTACTATAGGCTCATCATTTGGTGCCGGACTTGCTGATAGAATTGGAAGGTTAGCTTGTAATGTTTCTCCAGTTTGTTTACATTAAGTTGCTTTATCAGATTTCTTCTCACTTATATCATCTTTTTGATATTAATGCACAATAACATGATAGTAAAACCACAAAAAACAAAGATTTGGAACCATTGTCATTACCCAGTATTAAACATCTCTTCAGTTTAGGGAGCCTTTTAATATTATGTATTGATAATATATCCATATCTTTTTTAATAGTGGCTTTATTGATTCTCTTAAAATATTTGTTCTCTTATAAAAATGAATCTTCACTATTTCCTTATACTGTACTCTTCTGGGTATTAGAAACATTTTGGCTATTATGATTAAATACTGCACAATATACATTTTTTTTATAATTTCTGAAGCCAGTGTCATGGCATATCCTGTCATTGAGAGCATTCTTTTGTTAATGTCCATCAATTCATATGTAGTACTGCATGGACAGGCAGGGCATGCATATCCTATGAACACACTCTTATGCAGTAATTAACCCTTTTACTGTCAAGACTCCCAGAATTAAAAGTGCTGGCAGTGTTGTGATTTTTTAAGAAATGATGACAAATGTTTTAACTTCTGAAACAATAGAGAATCTTTTTCTGAAGGTAATGACACAAAAATGTGAAACTTGATGGAAACTTATGGAATTACACAGGAACAAAGTTAATAGTCTGAATGCAATTTACGCATTGGCAATTTTTCCCACATTGATTCCTATATTAAGCCAATTTTGTTGTTCAACTCGACCCAATTCTTAGCTATTTACTAGTATGCTTTCAGTTTATTGATTCAGTTCAAGAAACTGCCTTTTTCACTTTCAGAACTACCCCGTAAAGTGCACAGAAGTCAGCAATTTGGCCAGTTTTACACAAAATTCAACAAATTTCAGTTTAAAAAGAGTCCAAAGTAAACATTGTAGGTATTCCAGCCTCTAAAGCAATCCTTTCTCTGTTCAGTTAGGTCAACCATAAGAGTGTTGATTATATAAATTTGCACTTAAATTCTAGTGCCTCCAAAATGATCTCAGTTGGCCTAGTTTGAACCACATCGGAGAAAATACGTCTGCTGCAAGTGTGTTCAGTATTAAAAAAAAAGTGTGCACAGGACATTGTGGGATCCAGTAAATGCCATTTACATTTTTTTGCATGTGTTAAGTATTTACATTTGTTTATGTGATTGAACGATAAATGTATACTGTAAGTGAAATATGATATGAAAATAGATTTTTTTTTTTTTGACAAACTGGCCATATTCCACCGAGGCAGGGTGACCTAAACAGAAAAACGAAAGTTTCTCTCTTTTTTTTTTTAAATTAGTATGTAATGTGTACAGGAGAAGGGATTACTTGCCCCTTACACCTGGCATTTTAATCGCCTCTTATGACACACATGGCTTACAGAGGTAGAATTCTGTTCCACTTCTCTATGGAGAATGAAAACAGATATGGGCATAAAACATTTAATCCAAGAAAACTAATAAGAAAAATGGAATTTAAAAAAAAAAAATGTTAAAACACAGCAACAACAAATCCACTAGCAAGTACTTGTGTTACCATAAGACTGTCACAAACATCACACCCAAAACTTCAAATCTCCATAAGTAGTAATCAGGTTTCATTCAATTATGTCTCATTACACTTCTAAAGTCAGGGAGAATTTTTTGGTAAGAATTTTTTTTTTTTTTTTAATTTCTAGCACTGGGAAGTGCATTAATTTTTGTACCCCTTGGCAGTTTGTAGAGGTCTTAGTTCAAGCTAAGAGCTCATTCATTGCAGCACAGTTTCAGGCCTTGGTTGTCTAGATCCTCGGCTTGAGCTAAGACTTGCAATTTTCCTTTTTTTTTTTTCAAATTTCACACTGATAAACGTTCCCATGGCAGTTCTAAAAAGTTTTGCCAATCTTTGTTTTTATTTCTGTGCAGTGTTTTGATATTGAAGACAAATTTGTAACTAATCGCATCTTGGAGTAGTGATGCAACATGCTTGTTAAGATTTGGTAAAATAAAGGCTCTGAACAATGAAAAGTACTCATTGAACCATTAGATAATTGATCCTAGTAGAAATGAAAATACCCTGGATTTGATATTCACAAACAATGACAAATTAATCAGAGACATAACAATTACAAAAACATTATACATACTCAGACCACTGCATCATAGAAGTACAAACGAGTATAATCTCAGGGTTGGGGAACTGCAGCACTAATGGATGGAAGGGATGTTCAGTAAGTTTGATTTCAACAACCATAGAATTGACTGGGAAAAAATAAACCAAGGACTATCAGACATATCCTTGGAATCAGATATGAGCACTCTAAATCCCCACCAGTGCCTGGAGAAGCTGAATATAAAAGCATAGAAGGTCTGTAGTAAACACATTGGGGAAGATCCAGAAGAAGATCAGATATAAAGAGAGAGCATAGGAGATGGTACAGAAGAAAATGGGTTACTGAATTGCTCAAAAACATAAATATGTCTCAACGAAAGAAAGATAGTTGTAGCCGAGAGATCACAATTAGAGCAAAAACCTAGGATGTCATACCAAACAGAAGTACAAAGGGAACAAAAGGCTATACAGGATACTGCAAGAAACCCAGAATATTTCTATTCCTATGCGAAATCCAAGCTAAGAATTACCTGTAGAATTGGACAATTATTGAGAGAGACTCGTATACTGACAATGAACAGGAAATAAGTGCAATTCTAAAAGAACAGTGTGAACCAGTGTTCAGCAAACCACTAAATGACAGCAACGTAGAGAATGCAGAAACATTTTTCACTCCAGCAAATGGCCGGGCAGATCAACTAACTGACATTGGTACTACTCCCATAGATTTCAAAAAAGAAATGGATAACATGCCCACTCACGTAGCACCTGGACCAGATTCATGGAATGCCCTATTTATAAAAAAGAGTGCAATGTACCACTAGCACGAGCCCTCAGAATTCTTTGGAGAAAGATCCTAGATCTAGGTGAAATACTGAAGACCTTAAAAAGTGCAAACATAGCTCCTTTGCATAAGGGAGGCAGTAGAGTACTAGCTAAAAATTAGAGACCAGCAGCCCTAGCTTCCCCACAACATAAAAATCTTCAAAAGAGTGATGAGATGTCAGATTACAAATTTAATGGAACAGCACAACTAGCATAACCCAAATCAGCATGGTTTTAGAGCATGAGGAAATTAAATCTTCATCAGAGTACAAAACAAATTCTGGCCACAAAATAGAGCGAAACACCAACGTCAAAGACCTGGGAGTGATTATGTCGGAGGATCTCACCTTCAAGGACCATAACATGTATCAATCGCATCTGCTAGAAAAATGACAGGATGGATAATGAGAACCTTCAAAACTAGGGAGGCCAAGCCCATGATGACACTCTTCAGGTCACTTGTTTTATCTAGGCTGGAATATTGCTGCACTCTAACAGCACCTTTCAAGGCAGGTTTAAATTGCCGACCTAGAAAATGTACGGAGAACTTTCACGGCCCGCATAACGGAGATAAAACACCTCAATTACTGGGAGCGCTTGAGGTTTCTAAACCTGTATTCCCTGGAACGCAGGAGGGAGAGATACATGATTATATACACCTGGAAAATCCTAGAGGGACTAGTACCGAACTTGCACAAAAATCACTCATAGAAAGAAAAAGGGGATTTGGGCAACGATGCACATCCCCCCAATGAAAAGCGGGGTTACAGCACTTTAGAGCCATACAATAAGTGTCGGGGCCCGAGACTGTTAAAACTCCCTCCCAGATACATAAGGGGGTTCCCAACAGACCCCGGGCGTCTTAAGCTGGCACTGGCAATCACCTAAAGCATTTCCCGATCAGCCGGGCTGGGCTCGTACTTTGGGTTTTGGTGCAGCCACAGCAACCCCGGTTGTCGGGGGGCTGATTCCCCGGAGGCCTGGCACAGCCCGGGCCGCGGGGCGTTGCCCCCCGAAACTCTCCCCGGGGAAACTCGGGTAAGAATCATCCCTGTAAGCTGATGAACCACTATGACAAAACCTATGAAGGCATTGGAAGGCAACCAAAAGTTGTGATATACAAATTTTTGAAAAGGTTTGACAAAGGGAACCTGGGGTGGCCCAAAAAATGACCAAGGCTAATTAGGGGGAAATGGGCAAAAAAAAAAGTAGTAATAACAAAGCAAAATCCAGAAAAAAGTCATTTTCCCCAAGTCCTGTTTTGGGACCTCTCCTTTTTCATTTAAAAAATGATATAAAAAACATGGGAAAATCACACGGTAGAAGACACTGAAAAATAACAGGGGAAAATATAAAAAGATTTTCCCGTGGGGCATGGAGGGGAAAAACATATGAAAAAAAACAGGGAAAATTTAAAAAAAATTTTCCCGTGGGCAAGAAGAAAAACATGACATTCAGGTGGTGATAATTTCCAGTGCTTTTGGGATGGAAAAAATGAAGAACCCAAAAAAAAAATCTGTATACAAAACTCGAGGGTCATAAAAAGAAAAAAAAGAACACATGTGAAAAGATTGGAAAAATATGTAGGCCCTTTCTTTCAATAACGAGACAAAGATCACAACAGCCGGGTGATGGGTTGGGATTTTGAAAACCCCCCCCCAAAAAAGGAAAAAGCCAGTGATGACATTTAAAATCTTAGGCCCCCTCTTTTTAAATATTGGTCAGTTTTGACAGCCCCATTAAAGTCGGGAGAAATACAGATCTTGAACAAATGCAGAGATTGTTTTGGCTCACTAGAGTCAGAAAAAGCTTTTTAAATTATCAATGCCTTAGTTTTGAATATGTATAGTGGAGTGGAGAGAGAGAGATAATGATAATTATACAGTAGCCCGTTATTTAGCACGGTAGTTACTTTCCCGAAAATGTCGTGTTAGGTAAAAAATGCAAAATTTGAACTGAAGAACTTAGGGGAAAAAAAAATAGGGCTACATTCCTGGGGCCCCCAAAGAGCCAACAACTTTTTTTTAGACCAACGTTTACAAAAAAAAAAGTGAATTGAATTGTA